TTGTAGTGTCTGTCTGGGGTTAGTTTGTAGTGTCTGGAGTGAGCTTTGTAGTGTCTGGGGTGAGTTTTTTAGTGTTGGGGTAAGTTTTGTAGTGTCTGGGGTGAGTTTTGTAGTGTCTGGAGTGAGTTTTGTAGTGTCTGGGGTGAGTTTTGTAGTGTCTGGAGTGAGTTTTGTAGTGTCTGGGGTAAGTTTTGTAGTGTCTGGAGTGAGTTTTGTAGTGTCTGGGTTGAGTTTTGTAGTGTCTGGGGTGAGTTTTGTAGTGTCTGTCTGGGGTTAGTTTGTAGTGTCTGGAGTGAGCTTTGTAGTGTCTGGGGTGAGTTTTTTAGTGTTGGGGTAAGTTTTGTAGTGTCTGGGGTAAGTTTTGTAGTGTCTGGAGTGAGTTTTGCAGTGTCTGGGGTAAGTTTTGTAGTGTCTGGGGTGAGTTTTGTAGGGTCTGGGGTGAGTTTTGTAGTGTCGGGGGTGAGTTTTGTAGTGTCTGGGGTAAGTTTTGTAGTGTCTGGGGTGAGTTTTGTAGTGTCTGGGGTGAGTTTTGCAGTGTCTGGGGTGTCTGGGGTGAGTTTTGTAGTGTCTGGGGTGAGAAACAGTTTTTTTTTTTTTAATATTTAAAAAATTTGGTTTTGTTCGTGGCTGACTGGCAAAATCTTCGGACGACTTATTGACTCATTTGCCGTCAACCTATGAACTGAAAATGGCACAAAGACTCGTTGCAAATGACAAATTATTATATTTAATTTTCAGCTCCAAACCCCCCCCCCCCCAACCCCCAATATCATTGTTTCCCAAGGGGAAGGTGAAAGTAATATGGTATTACGAAATAAAATTCCCGATAACTGCACTGAGATTCTTTTTTTTTTAAATATTGCGTCTGGCGTGCAATATTTTCTTTTGCTTTTTCTGAAATAGTTTGTGTAAATAAAGATGAGGTGTCAAAGTGAGTGGGTCATTAAAATAGTTTGGGGGGTGTGTGAAAACAATGTGGGGTTGCGAGCCTTTGTGTGTGTGTGTGGGTGGGGGGTGGGGTCACGAATTTCTATTCTTATAAAGTGCGTATGCGTGTTCAATATTACATTTTATAATGGATTTATACCAGAAACTTTGTTTTTAAGGGTTGTTGAACTGTATCAGTGGATTCAAATGTGATGAGAGTCGGCAGTGGTCTAAATGCGATGGTGAGTAGGCAGTGATATCCGTCGTCGTCCCTGGAGGCAGAGAATGGAATGTTATTGATGTTCTAGTGAAGTTGGGTAACACATGTTTGTATCCACGTGTAATGATCCTCTTAGGGAAACAAGGTGTACGTCAGGAGAGGGAGAGAGTATGGCAAAGAATGTGCACGTTTTTATAACAGATAGAGGCTGGCAGCTTCATAGGGAGTGGGGGAGTATGGATGTAGAGGGGGTTGGGGTCTAGTGGCGGAGGTGTGAGGGAGTGGGTGTGCAGAGGGGTGCGAGTGCGTAGGGGAGTAAGGGTGTAGGGGAGTAAGGGTGTAGGGGTAAGGGTGTAGGGGAGTGAGGGTGTAGGGGAGTAAGAGGGTAGTGGAGTGAGGGTGCAGGGGAGAAAGAGTGGAGGGGAGTAAGGGTGTAGGGGAGTA